TCTTTGTGTCTTCCCTTTTTTTTTTTTTTTTTTTTTTTTTTGGAGAGGTTTTTTGCTATAGGGCATGTGCACGTGCCAGAAAGAGAGACAGAAAGTGAGAAATCACCCCCAGGGTGGATGGTCACACCGCAATCCCTTCTCCTCCATTCTCCTCTCGGGATCTTGGGCACACATCACCCACACCTGGCATGAGTTTGAGTCACCGGGTCCGGGACTCAAACCATGGTCAACTACATGGGAGTTCAGCAACATAGCCATTACGCTAACTGCTGGTCCCTCTTTCTCATTCTTTTTTTTTTTTTTTTCCCTTCCCAAGTTCAGTCACCACCTACTATCTGAGTCCTCTGGCAGTACTATGGGAATGTGGGTTTTTTTATTTTCAAATTCCATACAGAGTTTGAGTATAATGCAAGAAACTCTGTTCTACTTTATTCCAGGGTTGGGCTGCCTGCCTCCAAACCCCAAAAACAATCTGCTAAGGACCCCAGCAAATCCTTACTGACCCTACTCTAGGGCTATATGAGGCAGAACCAACTAGAGGGACAGAACAGGAGGGAAAACCATGGGGCCTGTTGGGAATCTTTTTTATTTTTTATTTATTTATTTTTTAATGCCAAAAGGAACCTGGCTCATGAGAGAGAGGGAGGAAAAAAAAGAAAAAGACAGAGTACTTGCCCTCCTAACAGGACCTGGTCACACTGCAATTATTTTTTCTCTAATTCTCCATCCTGTCAAAACCCTGGGCATATGACTGTCTGGCATGCCTTTCAAGTTGACAGCTCCAGGACTCAAACTCTGGGTGACCACGTGGAATGAAGTTTCCTCGGTGCAGCACCTAACAACTGTGCTACAGAGCGGGCCCTTTCTGGGAATCCTTTTTACACCATTGCTTTTAGGACTATCTGTGGAGTGCTGGAAACGTGCCTGGCCTGCTCTTCCCAGATATCTGATTCTATGGGGTCTATCACCTTAAATGGGCAATGTTATGCAAACTGGTGAAAGTGGGGTGGACAAAACAGTAGGAGACCCAGGGTATCAAATAAGACCCTGAGAACGGTAAACAAGAGTGTGAGGGGCAGCTTGGCCCCTTTGCCTTGGGAGTGTGAGAGGGTGTGCAGAGGCCTGAGCCTCTGAAAACTCCCGCTCTCTGCCCCTCTGAGCCTTTTCTTGAAACACGGACTCATCAGTGATACCTGGGACATCTCCAAGCACATACACTATACACTCTTTTTTTTTTCGAAGAGTTTTTGGCTATAGGGCACGTGCACTCACCAGACAGAGAGAGACAGAGACAGAAAGTGAGCAATCAATCCCCAGAAGGGATGGCCATACCACAATCCCTTCTCCTCCATTCTCCTCTCGGGATTTTGGGCACGCACGCACATGCGCCCAGCATGAGTTTTAAGCCACCAGATCCGAGACTCGAACCGCGGTTGACTACATGGGAGTCCAGCGACATAACCGTTATGCTAATTGCTGGCCCCCAAGCACATACACTCTTAAACATACCCCTGGCTCCCCAGGTCATCAGGACACAGTCTAAGTCCTCAGTGAGGCATACACACATGGTCCCACTGCCCTAATCTCATTTCTTGAGCTTTTTCCTGCTTTGTTAATGAGGAAAAAATAGTGGCAGACACCTTCTACCCATCTCCATCCTTTGATGGCCCGAGAGTACTGGATGTCCTTTCTGTGGAGTGCTGGAAACGTGCCTGGCCTGCCCTTCCCAGATATCTGATTCTATGGGGGTGTGCACTTTTCATTATCTTAGACTGTGCAATTTTCCAACTCTGTAAACTGCAAAAAAACCTAATTATAATGCAAATGACTCTTGTTCATAAAGATTCAAATGAGTTTTTACAGGTGGAGATGCAGCTGATTCCCTGCCCACATGGAAAAAGCCAGTTTTACTCTATTATGAATTTACTCTATTAGCAAATTCATTTTGGCTTTCCTGCTCTTTATGTATTGCCTGTTCTTTGGATTCTCCTTTGAGCTGGCTTTGACATTTTACAGTTGCTCATTAATAAAATCTTTGGCATGTATTCATTGTATGTTTCCACAACATATATAATTTTACTTTTATTTTTATTTTTTACTGGAGGGCACATGTAATTGCCAGAGACAAAGAGAGACAGAGAAAGAGGGAGAGAGAGAAAGCACCCCCCACATGGGATGGAGTCACGCCACAATCCCTTCTTCTCCACTTCTCTTCTCCATTTCCTCCCCCACGTTGTGATCAGGGGCATGCATGCACATGTGCCCAGCATATTTTTCATCCTGGGGCTGAGATTGGAACCATGCAGTAGGCCATATGGAATCCAGCTGCCTTAACCACCAGGGCATGGAGCCAACCCATGGTTTTACTTTTTAAAAAACTATCCTAGGGACCAGCAGTTAGCATAATGGCTATGTCGCTGGACTCCCATGTAAGTCGACTGCAGTTTGAGTCCCGGACCCGGCGGCTTAAACTCACACCAGGCGCGTGGGCAGGTGTGCGTGCCCAAGATCCTGAGAGGAGAATGGAGGAGAAGGGATTGCGGCATGGCCAACCTCCCTGGGGAGTGATATCTTGCTTTCTGTCTCTCTGTCTCTCTCTGTCTTTCTGCCGAGCGCACGCACTCTATAGCAAAAACCTCTCCAAAAAAAAAAAGAAAAAAGAAAAACAAACACTATCATAAAATATGCCCTAAATATGCAGCTGTACCAAGTAGCTCCAAGTTCTTTGAAATATTTTTTAAAATGTTTGCTTTTGCCCTTGCTGCCATTTCCACCAAGATCCCAGAACTGCTTTTTCTCCACTTTCAATACTCAGCTAAAATGTCACCTCCTCCATGCAGCTTACCTCCTCTCCCTGGGCAGAATTAACTGCCCACAGAGCAGTTCGTCCATTGTAAGTTCCAGCATGGGTCCCATTTTATGTAAATTATTTCTACAGGTTTGTTTCATCATTAGATCTTGGTCTCTGCCATAACATGGACCAAGTCCTATTCACCTTTGGATGCCCTGTGCCCAGCACACCACCTGGCAAGGCTGCCCTCCACCGGTGAAGTGGGAATGAACACTGAAGTAAAGGTCAAAGGGGAATTCTTCATTGTTCATGGGGTTGAGAATAGGGCTCCTTATTCATATTTAATAATTGTCACAAACTCCCAGTCAAGGTGACTAGAAGATATGCATGAAGGATTTCAAATTTAGGTACTTGAGGGACAGCAGGTGGTGTGGTGGTTAAGGCATTCGACTACCACATGGCTGATTGTGGTTCAAGTCCCAGACTTGGTGGCCTGAAACTCATGCCAGGTGTGTGTGTATGTGTGCCAGCCAACTGCTGTGCCTTTTCATCGATGTGGAAATAAAACATCGTAGACGGTGTCTAAAGAAACACACCAAGCCCTGGAAACCCAGCGTAACTTAGTGGTGGCTGCTTCTCCTTTACCGCCTCTCACCAAAGCTCCAGGATTGGTAGATGCTTTTGGCAGGAGAGAGAAGAGAGGAGCCCAAAGATCTGCTCTCCCTCGGCAGAGCCCGTAGACACAAACAGCGCCACCCCAGCCTGGACGAACAGGACTACAGAAGGCCTTTCTAGCAGGTCCCTCACTGACTTCTAGTAAAAGCAGCAAGGGGACCATTCCGGCTCTGCCATTTTTTGACTATGTGCCCTTGGGCAAATAACAAGTTCTGTGGGCCTCAGTTTCCCCATCTGCCATACGACAGCACCAGCCTGGTGGGGATGCTGTGAGGATTAAATGAGGTCATTAAGATAGTGTTTAGCACAGAGCCTAGAACATAGTAAATACCCAACAAATGGTTCACTCATTCGATAGATGAGCACTCATTCCATGAAGGTTCGTCATCACATTAGGATGATTCTCCTTTGGGACCTGTCTCACTTTACCTGGGGAAGAGATTGCATCATTACCTCATTCTCTGCCATTCTGCTTTCTTTTCTATCATCAGCTCCTTCTTGGTCTCTATCGGGTCTCTTGGTTTTATTTTTCTCACTCTGCTTGGACTTGGCGCCCTCAGAGACCCTAGTGACCTTTGGCCCCAGCCCGTCTTCCTTGCCTGAGTCATCAGGGAGGGGGTGTCTGCTTTCCCTCAGCCTGGCCTCGTCTTTCTTCCTGGATCTTCCGGGGGCGTCCTGCTGGGGTTTTAGATACTTGTCCAACTTGGCTTTGGCCTCTTTCCGGTAGTAGCCGTCTTCCCGGCTTTTGTAGCTGGATGCAGAGTGCAGAGGGTTGGGGGACCCGGACCTCGGGTACCTTTCTCGGTGGCCCCTCCCTCCTTCCAGGCGCTCTTCCAGCTCGGCTTTGTCCAGTTGCCGGGGGTAGTGTTTGCGATCATGTGCCCATGTGTCCATCCTGTCCCTCTTGTCCTCCCCATTCTCCCTCCAGGGGGCGGGTTCTCGCTCCTCTTCCCTCCTGGCATAGGGCGAGTGCTCCCAGGAGTCCCGGCCGTTGCCCCAGTCAGCCCTGGAGGGGCCTGGAGGACTGTGGGAAGAGCTGCAGGACGTGAAGCTGGGGGTGTGGGACCTTGGGGAGAGGGACCGGCTCACTGGACTGCGAGACCGTGGTCTTTCTGGGCCGTATCTGTGAGGGAGCAAAAGAGCAGGATTTAGAAGCTGCACCCCCTGACGCTGCCCCGCCCAGATACAGATGCACACACACTCTCCAAGCGACACCAGGCAAGCTCTATCCTGCAGTACCTCATCGCTCGCAGCTGCAGAGACCAACTTTCTCTCCCTCCTGGATTCTACAAAGGGATTGTCCTCACGAAGAGTATTGGCCACACTGCCTTTACCCATCCTGTTGGAACTGAAAGAATCACTGGGTTGGACTGGCCAGCTGCATCCTTCTTCCTTTTGGAAGTGAGCAATGCTCAAGAACAGGTCTGAGTCCTCCCGGGCGGTGTGAGCGGGGCAGAGTGGCCGTGGGCCAGCCTCCTGGG